GTGACTGGAATTTAGCCACAGTTTTCTTGCTGTTTATATGGATTATTAGCTACCTTTTGAAATGATAATTATGTACAATTATAGTTAGGCACAGATCTTCAGTGTCTTTATTCCTCAAATTTTGATGCATTCTACCTTGAGAGGGACAAAAAGGACATTTTATTAAAGGAAAACCTCTCAGAGAATCAGTAACCTGTGTAATATAATTTCCAGAAAGATAACATTCCTTATTTTTAAATGTAAAGTTTTCTCCCCTGGGTAAGCCCACCAGAAGGCTCCAGATTTTGCTGTGGAACTCATAGGCAGTGTGTCTGTGTGTACATTTTATGTGTATGTATATAAAATATTCATATATATAAATACCTATATATGAATATATGCATGTGTGTTTATATGTCTGTATATGTATTATGTGCAGGGCTACCTGGTCACTTAGGGAATAGGGTAGAAATTTTAAATATTTGATTGTTGAATTCTCTCTAAAACAGGGCTATATCAGGTTGTCCTGACTTTTCTGATAGAAAGTTGCATAATTATAGTCTCTTTGGTAGTTGGATAAAACTCTCACAGTTGCTCTATCCCTGGCCTCTTGTGAGCACATAAGTAAATATTTAATGGTTTTTTTTTCTAGTAGAGCATAGATTCTTAAAATATTAATTGTGGTCAAGCAGTTGTGTGGTTATTGGTATTTTCTGTAAGAACAGTAACTCACAGCATAGCTCTTTATTTTAAACATTCTGCATTACTTTGTCCCTGATAATGTAAAGGGGAGCTGATTTCTAGTGTGTGTGTGTGTGTGTGTGTGTTAGTTGCTCAGTCATCTCTGACTCTTTGCGTCCCAGTGGACTGTAGCCCACCAGGCTCCTCTGTCCATGGAATTCTCCAGGCAAGAATACTGGAGTGGGTTGCCATTCCTTTCTCCAGGGGAGATTTCTAGTTAAGACATTTTAAAAATTGGACATAACTTGGAATCACAAAAAAGTTTATCCGTCTCTGGGAGGATTCTCAAATAAGTAGCTAATGTTCTATTTACATTCTTGGGACTTCAGGCATGTAGGTTAGGAGACCACCCTTCCTGACTTTCTAATTTTACAGTAAGAGGCTTCCATATTCTGAAACATGAGATCAGAATGGGTGGAGGAGAGGCAGGTGCTGAGAGGCCAGATTGGAAGGAGGTAGCAAGCAGTGCAGGTAGCACTAGGATGATATTGGGAAGGGGGGGTCACCCTTGTTGCCATCACAGCATCACAGCGCCTCACTATTTCAAATCAGGAGTGTGGGGATTGCTTACCACTCTCCCTGCAAAAGAATGGTTTTCGACCTTAGCTGGACATAATAATCAACTGTGAAGTTTTTAAAAGTCTGCCTACCAGGCCATTTAAATGTGATTCTCTAACAGTGGAACCTAGATATCAGTAATTTTAAAAAACTTCCCAAGAGGTTCCAATGTGCATCCAAGGTGAAGATGCCTGCAAAGCTCAAATAAGCTGCGGAGAGAATGTACTACATAGCTACTGACTTTACTTGGACCTTATCAGTTGTAATTAACCAACTGGGAATTCCTGGATGAAATGGAAGTTTCATTTAGTAGTGAATAGGGTAGTGAATAGAGCCTCAACCTTGTACCAGATTCTTATTAGTTGCTAGAAATAGAAAAATAAGATATGGTTGATAAAGGAATGCAATCTAGTGGAGGAGACAGAAATAATAACAAATAATGTAATAGAAAGCATGAAGTGAAAAAGAGAAAACTCTTAGTCACTCAGTTGTATCCAACTCTTTGCAAACCCTTGGACAGTAGTCTACTAGGCTCCTCTGTCATTGGAATTCTCCAGGCAAGAATATTGGAGTGGGTGGTGGTTGTACTGTTGTTCACTCAGCCATGTCCAACTCTTAAAGACCCCATGGACTGCAGCACACAAGGCTTCTCTGTCTTTCACTATCTCCCGGAATTTGCTCAAACTCATGTCCATTGAGTCAGTGATGTTATCTAACCATCCATCCATGCTGCCCACTTCTTTGCCCTCAGTCTTTCCCAGTGTCAGGGTCTTTTTCAATGAATCAGCGCTTTGCAGCGCAGTTCAGTTCAGTTGCTCAGTCTTGTCCAACTCTTTGCAACCCCATGGACTGCAGCACACCAGGCTTCCCTGTCCATCACCAACTCCCGGAGCCTACTCAATGTCTGTTGTATCAGTGATGCCATTCAGACATCTCAGTCTCTGTCATCTCCTTTTCCTCCTGCCTCCAATCTTTCCCAGTATCAGGGTCTTTTCCAATGAGTCAGTTCTTTGCATCAGGTGGCCAAAGTATTGGAGTTTCAGCTTCAGCATCAGTCCTTCCCAATGAATATTCAGGGTTGATTTCCTTTAGGATTGACTGGTTTGATCTCCTCCCTGTCCAGGGGACTCTCAAGAGACTTTTCCAGCACCACAATTCGAAAGCATCAGTTCTTTGGCACTCAGCCTTTTTTAAGGTCCAATTCTCACACCTGTATACCACTGCTGGAAAAACCATAGCTTTGACTATATGGACCTTTGTTGGCAAAGTGATGTCTCTGCTTTTTAATATGCTGTCTAGGTTTGCAATAGCTTTTCTTCCGAGTAGCAAACATCTTTTAATTTCCTGGCTGTAGTGACTGTCCACAGTGATTTTGGAGTCCATTTTTCCTCATCTATTTGCCATAAAGTGCTGGGACCAATGCTATGAGCTTAGTTTTTTGAATGTTGAGTTTTAAGCCAGCTTTTTCACTCTTCCCTTTCAGCCTCATCAAGAAGCTCTTTAGTTCCTGCCATTAGAATGATATCATCTGCTTATGACTTTGAATTACTGGAGTGTGTAGCCATTCCCTTCTCCAGGGGATCTTCCTAACCCAGGAATTGAACCTTGGTTTTCTGCATTGCAGGCAGATTCTTTACCATCTGAGCCACCAGGGAAGCCCATAATACAGGGCATATAGCATATTTAAAATAGAGGTGTTTAGAGTGTTAATGGAAATACGGGTAGAAGAAGCAATTAACTTTGCCTGAGGTTGAGGATATGGGTTAAAGTGGGAATGAAATGAGAAACAGTCAGGTGTTCATAGAGAAAGTGATGAATTGTGTTTATCAGATAGAAAAGGAGAAAAAAGAGGAGGTTAAAGAAAAAAAGATTTTAACATGCAAAGATGGGAAGAGATTGAATAAATGTTCAGGGATTGGTTGAAAAGCAAGATGCCTTTGAGGTATTTGTAGGTTTTGCAGCTAGAAAATCAGATTCAGGTGATGAGGTGCCTTATAAACCACAGTCAGGAATATGGATGCTATCTTATGCTGTGATGTTGAAGGGTCAAATATATACAGGGACTAAGTAGATCATCTGAAGAATGAAGCTGGTCAGGTGCAAAGAAGTTGATAGTATTGGAGGCTTTAGTAATCTGGATAGCATGGAACTTGTTTGAAGGCATTTAGGTAGAAATTTTTTAAAATATTTTTTTATTTAGGTTGAATTAGATCTTCATTTTGGCATGCTTGTGGGTTCTAGTTCCCCCCACCAGGGACTGAACCTGAGTCCTTTGCATTGGTAGCACGGAGTTTTACCCGCTGGACCACCAGGGAAGTCCCAAGAAATGTTTTCTAAAGTTTAATTTAAGCTTAAAATAAGGGATTATTATTTAGGTCAGATCTGTCAAATTCAACTTTCAAGTGCCAGTTTGTCATACCTTCAGTATGAGAGCCCTGTTAGAATAGTAAAAAAAAAAAAAAAAAAAGTAAGACTTTTGTAGCAATTCTAAAGTAGTATTGCAGAAGTATAATTAAAAGTTGAGGTTGGGCTGGAGATGTGGAGGTAAGAACATAATGGAAAGATTAGTGTAGTAATCTTGGTAAAGTGTTCCAGCAAGCCACCAATGCTTTCAAACAAGGTAGCTTACACTGTTTGCTTACTCAGTCCCTTTACTGTTAAGCTGCCAACATTGATCCGTACCCTCTGCCCAGCTCTATTACCGTGTTGCCATATGTACCCCACCACCCATCTCCATGTCTTTGTCCTATTCTGTTTCTCTCTGTGTTAAACACAATTTTGTCTCTCCGTTGGTTCATATCCTTAGATGAACACTGATGTTTCATGGAAACTTTTTTCTATTTCATCTGTAATTTAGAACTTCTGCATCTGGCTGCTGCTCCCAGCATCTCAGGTTGGAAAGACCTATGTTTCAGTCTTGTTTCTGCTAGAACTTTTGATGAGTTTTTTTTTTTTTAACTTTTCCAGAATATGGCTGTGGTGGTTTAGTGGCTCAGTCATGTCCAACTCTTTGCGACCCCATGGACTTTAACCCGCCAGGCTTCTCTGTCCATGGGATTTCTCAGGCAAGCAAACTAGAGTGGGTTGCCATTTCCTTCTCCGGGGGATCTTCCCAAAGATGAAACCCACATCTCCTGCATTGTGGGCAGTTTCTTGCATTGTAGGCAGATTCTTTACCGTTGTGCCTCTAGGGAAACCCAGTGTACCCTGGGCTTCTTGCCAGAATGTACTTGCCTATTTTTCAGTATTATTTTCATGAAGATAGTTGAGATGATTGACTATGAAAAGGTTTTGAAAATCATAAGCATTGTTCATAAGATACGGATATGCAAAAGTAATGTAAACCACAGATTTCAATTATTTTGGAAACATTTTTATGCTTACTTTCTCTAAATTAAAGTGATAACGTGTTGGAAATATAGTTTTAGATGAGAGATATGTATGTGCTTTTCTTTTTAAAATAGTCTATTTTACTTGGTTTGTCGCAATGAATTTACTTGGTAAAGTATTTTTAGAAAAACATGTGGATGAAGTATCAGTCATTTAAATTAGATCATGTGTATATTCTGCATCTACTATATTTGAATAATTTATAGAGCTTTATTGTTAGTGTAACCACTCCATGTAACCTAAAGCAGGTGACATTTTTGTTCTTTTAAAGGTGCTAAAACTAAATTTTATTGATTTAAGATAAATTTTACTTAATCTTTCCTGTTTGGCAGGCAACCAGATAAACTGGTGGTAGTTTGGACAAGAAGAAGCCGAAGGAAGTCTTCCAAGGTTTGTTTGTTTTCTCAATTTCTTACCCAAATGTTGAATGTAACTTTTGGTCAAATTATTGAGCTTCTCTGGCCTCACAGAAGAATATTTTTCAATGTTTTTTGATATTTTGGGTTATTCTTATAATCTGCTTTACTAAAATGATTGATTAGGTACTATATATAATCTTGGTATTATAGTTCTAACAGGAGCCAGATACCTGAGTTTTGATTTTGGATTTGGTGGCCTTAAATAACATAATAGTTATTTAACTTCTTTGTGCTAGGATATCATGAACTAATGAGTAAATAAAGATCACTTAAAAATTATATCTAGAATTACTTTATTCAGATTCTAAGAAGATGGAGTTAGGGCACACATAATTAATAATGAGTTATCAGAGTCCATTTGCTAGGTTACAGAAGAGAAGGAGTTGGATTTTTCAGAGGTTTTAATCTTTTGTTCTTACGGCTTTGTGGGGGAGTGGAGCAGAATTTTTAAATGTTCAATAACAATTTTAGATATTTTTAAAATTCCAGTCTACAGACAAGTAAGATTGAGCATGTGTTTATAGGCACACAATAATTACAAGCATGTTTATTGAATGTTGGTTTCTATGTAAGTAGATTTATGTAAGAAGAAGACAATGGCACCCCACTCCAGTACTCTTACTTGGAAAATCCCATGGACGGAGGAGCCTGGTAGACTGCAGTCCATGGAGTCGCTAGGAGTTAGGACATGACTGAGCGACTTCACTTTCACTTTTCACTTTCATGCATTGGAGAAGGAAATGGCAACCCACTCCAGTGTTCTTGCCTGGAGAATCCCAGGGACGGGGGAGCCTGGTGGGCTGCCGTCTATGGGGTCGCACAGAGTCGGACACGACTGAAGCGACTCAGCAGCAGCAGCAGCAGATTTATGTAAAGAAAAAATTCATTTATTTTACCTGAAATTAAATTTTAATTAAATTTCATAATTAAAAAAATTTGTGAATACTGGTAGTTAATTTTTTTCTTTGCTGAGTATTATTCCATCATGTGAATATATTGCAGTTTGATTATACATCTGTTGATGAAAGTATGGTTTGTTTCCAGTGAGTATTCTGAATATTCACTATTGTGACTAAGTTTCTTTTAAACATTACTGTACAAGTATTTTGGGGCACAAATATTTTCTCTTGCACAAATAACTAGGAGTAAAATCACTGGGCAATAGGGTAGGTACATTTTTAACTTTTGGCGTACCCCCACCAGCAATAGAGAAAAGGTCCAGTTGCTTTACCTACTGAATAGCATCTTCTCCAAAACATACATATGTAGTTTGGAGACAGGGTATTTTGGATCTATAATATTTTCTTATCTATTTATGTATGAGAAAGGATTCTGAAACTAGACTTAGGGTCTTCTATCATTTTTTTTCTGAGTGGGTCTTAAGCTTTTATGGAAAGGAACAATAATAGATCATCCAGTAAGTATGATAGTGGAATCTGACTATACTATAAATGTTAGACCCTAAATGTTTTTAGCTGTCAACAGAAAGTGATTTCCCTCTTGTAGTAACTAGATACTAATTGTTTTCTTAAAACATTATGAAACATAATGAAATGCTTTAGATCAGAAGTCAATTCAGAATATTCATAGTTGAAGTTAAGTATACTTTTAATTTAATTGCATTTTCAAAGTCAGATAACTTTTAGGTCCAGATTCTTTTTCTCATTATATTAAATATTGATTGACCCTAAATGATGAAATGCAAACATATGAGGTACAGGTTGATTTTTCTCAGAATACAATATTTTCCAGAAGGAACTATTTCTTATTGGACTTATTTTCCAGTTGTGATGCTCCTAATATTTCAGATCCCTTCTGGATATTTTAGAATCATTATATATTTCTCTTGAAACATTATAGATGTACTTTTGAAAAGTTATGAGAACTCACAATGTATTAAGCTTATAATGTTCTTATTTAGTCACTCTAGTGATGTCCAGCTCTTTGGGACCCCATGGACTGTAGCCCCACAGGTTCCTCTGTCCATGGGATTTCCCAGGCAAGAGTACTAGAGTGGTTTGCCATTTCCTCCTCCAGGGGATCTTCCTGATCCAGGGATCAAATTCGAGTCTCCTGCATTTCAGGTGGCTTCTTTACCACTGAGCCATCAGGGAAGCCCACATGCTATAATAAGCTTACAGGATTCCCTGATGGCTCAGTGGTAAAGAATCTGCCTGAAATTTACGTAATACATTCATGTATGTGTGAAATGCTGTTTTATACATTGTATACAACAGCAGAATAAGGATGCAAAAACCAGTTGCAGGAGCTGTAAAAGAAATGATTATGATATTATGTGAAAATTAAACAAATTACTTTTTAAAAAAACTTTGAGGAGCTTGAGATCCATGGCATTTTGGAATTCTTAAAAAAAAAAAAAGAAAAAAGCTAGCTTGTCCTGAGCTATTGTTTTTTAAATTTAACTATCAGTTATATTAAATCCAAAGAGTAGAACCATTGTTTTCATCTGAAACACTCTTCTGTTTCTGACATTTTTCCTTTGAAATACACATTATTTGCTGTTAAGTCCCATTGAAATCACTTACAGGGAAAATAGATCTCTACAACAATTGGGCAGAAAATAGTCTGGTTTTTACTTTTAGGTTTGTTTCTGGAAGGAGTTTGAACTATACAGTAATTCATTCTCTTTGGTCTTGTGTATAACTTACTGTTTATCTTGCCTGTTTCTGAATATATCTACCTTTTAAAAATTATTTTATTGAAGTATGATTGGTTATCTACCTTTTTTATATTGGTGGATTGAAACTTATAACTGATATCCAGATAACAGATTAGACAGTATAATGATAAGGCACATTGCCTTACTTGATTTAAAGTTTAGTTCTCAGTGTTTTGCTCACTTTCTTTGGATACATGTCTGTTTTTGTAATTAAAAAGAACCCATTGCAGAATCATTTTTTATTGACAAAATAATTACCATGAGTAATTATCACAATAGGCAATTTTCCTACCTCTTATCTTCAAGTCATGGCATTTATAGCAAAGATATTTTCAGGCAGCAGTTGAATTGTATATGCTTAAATATATTATTTTTCAGTATAGTGTTGGACAAAGGAAGCAGGAAAACTGTAATAGACAAAAGTTATGGCAGGGTAGTCTATTGCCTTAAACCTAGTTTTCAAACTAGGAATTTAAAGTCACAAAGAAATGGGAGAATTCCAAAGGGAAAGAAGAGCTTGAAAGTCCTCACCAGCTTTTGGATGGCATTACCACTTCTACCTCCTTGCTATAAGCTGTGTTTTTGTTGTAATTATTTTAAACTTTTTATTTTGTATTGAAGTATGGCTGATTAAAAGACGCTTACTCCTTGGAAGGAAAGTTATGACCAACTTAGACAGCATATTAAAAAGCAGAGACATTACTTTGCCAACATAGGTCCATCTAGTCAAAGCAATGGTTTTTGCAGTAGTCAGGTATGGATGTGAAAGTTGGACAGTGAAGAAAGCTGAGCGCCGAAGAACTGATGCTTTTGAACTGTGGTGTTGGAGAAGACTCTTGAGAGTCCCTTAGACTGCAAGAAGATCCAGCCAGTCTATCCTAAAGGAGATCAGTCCTGGGTGTTCATTGGAAGGACTGATGTTGAAGCTGAAACTCCAATACTTTGGCCACCTTGTGAAGAGTTGACTCATTGGAAAAGACCCTAATGCTGGGAAGGATTGGGGGCAGGAGGAGAAGGGGATGACAGAGGACGAAATGGCTGGATGGCATCACCGACTCGATGGACATGGGTTTGGGTAGACTCCAGGAGTTGGTGATGGACAGGGAGGCCTGGCGTGCTGTGATTCATGGGGTCACAAAGAGTCGGACGTGACTGAACTGAACTGATAGCTGATTAACAATGTTATGATAGTTTCAAGTGGACAGCAAAGGGACCCAGTCATACATATACATGTATCCATTCTCTCCCAAACTCCCCTCCCATCAAGACTGCCATGTAACATTGAGCAGAGTTCCTTGTGCTATATATATTAAGTCCTTGTTGGCTATCCATTTTTAACATAGCAGTGTGCACCTGTATAGCCTTTAACAGTATGCTGTGGTATCTTGAAGGGATGGGTGTAGTGGTAGATCTTTGACTAAGACCATGATGTGGACAGTTCTAAGACAACTTTACATGTGACATCCTAAATGTATGGGTAGATGAAGTTTTATAAATTGAAAATCATTAATTTAAAAACTAAATGACAGTTATATATATTCAGTGAAATATTTCAGAAGTAACAAGTGAATATTTAGTTCCATATTAGGTTTTTTAGTTCCATATTAGGTTAAGGTCTTTTACATAAGGTATGATATAAAATAATTTGAAAATAAGACATAGAGTTAGTAGTCAAAATTGGTAAATGTTACCTTTTCCCTAGGTCTGCCTTTGCTAAAGGATCTCTCATATGATTAAAAGGTGAAACAATTTATATGAGTGGAACTGAATATGGCTTCATCCTTTCTACCATTAACTGTGCTAGGATGCTGGCAAATGATTAAATAACCTGCCTTTCTGAACTATATTAAGGAACTTAATAGCTGTATGTGTTTTATACTGAATTGTTTTCTAGGGAAATCCTTTCTATTACTCTGATTAAAAACTGATCCAGGATTCCTGTAGTGCTGATGATTGCCAACGTGAGGTACTTTTTAAAAATAAAGTTCCTAAGAACCTAAATTACTGTCTCCATGGATCTATACAATTAGGTGTTTAGTACCACAGCTATTTTTAGTTGCCTGTATTAGACTTTTTGTTCTTTTTGTAATATATAATAATTAGCTGACATTATGAAGCTGACATTGTCAGATACTAACCTGGACTAATTGATATTGTTACTGTGTCCTAACATAGCTAGTTTGTACAGTCACTAAAAAGACATCAGAAAGCCAGAGCTCTGACTTAGGTGGACCTTTTCTCTCACTGGGGAGAGAGTTGCTGGATAGAATGGCGGCATACCAGCAACTTGGGAACTAGCACCCTTCTATCTCTTTTTATTTAAAAAAAGAAAAAAGATTTTAGTTTGTTAAGCAGATAGTAGTTTTGTTTGTTCAGCAGTCTAATTACCATTTCCAGATCCTAGACTGAGAACTGAAAGAGGTCATTTAGAGGACCAGCATTAGGTAATTACCTAATATCACCATCTTCTAATTCTGCCCAGTTGTTTGTTGGTCTCCACATTGCCTGCTTTTCACACTTTTGATCTCTGTCTCATGCATATAAATGTTAAGACCTTAGGGATTGAAGACTATTTTCTTGACTACTGTGTGAATCCGAATTAGAGCTAGCTGTGATGTTGGTTGGGTGAAGAACCCTGAACTTGAAAATCATGGAGCTGGTTCTCCTACAGATCATTATTATGGGTTCAGGCAAGCCATTTACTCTTTATTGCCTCAGTTTCATGATCTGGACCTGATTAGATCTCCTAAGGATATTTTCAGGTCTAAAATTCTTTGATGTTACTTTTTAAAATTCAGAATTGTTCAAATTCTATCTTTTCTACTGTAACTAATAAGAAAAATTCAATTATTATAGTCTTTTTCAATGTATGGGGAGACTATGAAGATATATTTATGGGAAGTTTGAAGAGACTAGAGAAATAGCTTGATCTGTTGTTAGAGTACATGAGAATTAGAGTGTTCAGAATTAAGTGTGTAGACCATATAGAGAGGAGTTCTAATTAGAGATTATCTAAGATGGCAGCAATTTACTTTTCAAAATTCAGATTGTTTACTCTGTGGAATTGTGTTCTAGGACTGTAAACAGGCATAGAAATAAGGCAGGGGAATAGCAGAATCTCTAGAGATGTTTTTTAATCAACAAAACTCTGTTCTTTACCATTGGCTGTGGTGTGTTAGGTCTCTATTTTTTATTGAAGTATAGTTGACTTACAGTATTCTGCTGGTGTTTTAACCAACAAGATATGAGAAGATTTACATGGACATAAGTTTCTGTGATCTTGATCACTTCTCAGTTCCACTTCCTGGATTCAAATCCAGTCTCTGCCACTTACTTGCTGTGTGGTCTTGGTCAAGTCTGTGTCTCAGTGTCCTCAGATGTCCTCTCAGCGTCCTCTCAGATGTGTTAAATCTGCTCCCTGACATGCGTCTGCACTCAAGTACTCTAACTTCTTTTCTATTATTACGGAAGAATGATCTGTGCTCCCAGCACAAGCCAATCTGTCTCCTTTCGTACTGTTAAAGACATTACTCTAAGGAATTATTTCTCTTCTGCATCATTAAAATTTCCCTTTCAACTGAGTGTTTCCCATCACCCTAAAAGTACTTCTTTCATACTTAAAAAATTCTGGTCTGACAGTATTTCTTGTACTAGCACTAACCTATTTCTCTCTTTCTCTTTCAGCAAAATAGCCCAGAGAAGTTGAATGTGCTTGCTAGCTTCAGTGTCTTTCTTCCTATTCTTTCTTGAACCCATGCTGATCCAGTCAGGTGTTTACCCTCACCACTCCACTGAAACGGCTCTTGTGAAGTCAGTAATGGCTTTGGCTTTGTTAAATCCAGGGGTCATTTTCCAGACCTCATCCTCTTGACCTGTCACCAAGATTTGGCACAGATAATTGTTCGTGTCTCCTTGAAATATTTTCTCCACTAGACTTTCATAACCACTTGCCCCTGGTTTTCCTTCTACTTACTGACCCTTCCTTACTGATTCCTCCTCGTTTCCCAGACCTGTTGTCGTGCTCCAGAGTTCAGTTCTTGAACCTTTGTTCTCTCCCTCTCTGTCTCTTTCCCTTCCTCCCTCCTGTCGCTCCCTTCGGATTACATCCATCCTTAAGCTTTAAGTATCACCTGTATGCTGATGATTCCCAAATTTATAACTCCAGGCAGGTATATCCAGCTGCCTAGTTAAACAGCTACACTTGAGTATCTAATAGGCACCTTAGATTTAATGTGTATAAAATCAAGTTCCTAATCTGATTTTCCAAACCTGATCCTTCTGCAGTTTTATCTCATTATCTGTTAATAGCAGTTCCTGTTTTGTACTTGCTCAAGGGCAAAAGCCATACAGTCATCCTTGGCTACTTTCTTTCATAGAGTCAGACAGAAAATCTTATTGATTCTGTCTTGAAAATAAAAAAATATATGGAATCTGATCACTTCATACAGCTTTTATACCACCCTAAACCAAGTTGCCATCGCCTCTCCTTGGGATTATTGCGTAGCTTCTTTATTGCCTCCCTGTTTCCTCTCTTACATCTGGTTGTGGTTGTTGTTCAGTCACTCAGTCGTGTCCGGCTCTTTGTGACCCTATGGACTGCAGCACGCCAGGCTTCCCTGTCCTTCGCTGTTTCTCCTGGAGTTTGCTCAAACATCTGGAGTCTATTCTAAATTGATTTGCTAAAGCTAAAAAAACTTAACGCGGATCATCATTCTTCTGTTAAAATCCTCCAGTGGCTTCTCATCTCTCTCAGATTACAAGCCAGAATCTTTGGCTGGCCTGCCCAAACCTTGTATGACGGGGCCCTCCGTGATTTCCCTGGTCTTGTCTTCTGCTGCTCTTCTCTTTAACCACTCTGCCCCAGCCACATTGGCCTTGTTGTTATCTAACTGCCTCAGCACCTTTCCAATTGCTGGTCCATCTCCCTAGAAAACTCTTCCCATGTTTAAATTATCTGATTCACCTCCTTATGGTCTGCCCTTGTCACCTTCTCAAGGGTACTTTTCTCTGATTTGTTGTTGTTGCTTAGTCGCTCAAGCTGTGTCCAACTCTTTGTGATCCCATGAACTACAGCATGCCAGGCTTCTGTGTACTTCATTGTCTCCTGGAGTTTGCTCAGACTCATGGAGTCGATGTTGCCATCCAATATCTCATCCTCTGTCGCCCCCTTCTCCTCCTGCTCTCACTCTTTCTCAGAATTGAGGTCTTTTCCAATGAGTCAGCTATTTGCATCAGGTGGCCGAAGTGTTAGAGCTTCAGCTCCAGCATCAGTCCTTCCAATAAATATTCAGGGTTGATCTCCTTTAAGATTGACTAGTTTGATCTCCTTGCTGTCCAGTGGACTCTCAAGAGTATACTCCTGCACCACAGTTCGAAGGCATCAATTCTTCGGCGCTCAGCCTTTTTTTATTGTCCAGCTCTCATATCCATACATGACTACTGGAAAAACCGTAGCTTTGACTAAATGGACCTTTGTAGGCAAAGTAATGTCTCTGCTTTTTAAAATGCTGTCTAGGTTTGTCATTGCTTTTCTTTCAAGCAACAAGCATCTTTTAATTTCATGGCAGCAGTCACTGTCCACAGTGATTTTGGAGTCCAAGAAAATAAAGTCTGTCACTATTTCCATTGTTTCCCCATCTATTTGAATTTACCTTTAAGTTCTGAGATCACAAAGTAATTTTTAAAATATTTATCCTGATAAGATTTTCTTTAAATTTGAAATAGCTTTTGAAAATATGAGGCATCTCATTTTTCTATCTTCGTGTGTGTGTGTATGTAGGAGAGGGTAAATGTTTCTTTACAGATAGTAATCTGTAGCTTACGTGTGATATAACTTTCATAAAAGTGTTAGTTGCTTAGTTGTGTCCAACTATTTGCAACCCTATGTACTGTAGCCCGCTAGGCTCCTCTCTCCATGAAATTCTCCAGGCAAGAATACTGGAGTAGGTTGCCATTTCCTCCTCTCGGAGATCTTGCTGACCAAGGGATTGAACCCAGGTCTCCTGCGCTGCAGACAGATTATCTTCTGAGCCACCAGCTGTTATGGCCCAAGTTTGATGCTTGAAAAGTTCTATTTGATTAATCATTTTTGTTTTAGGGAGAGAAGTCTAATGAATAGTTAAATAGGGTCAATATATCTTTGCAGATTATTAATATTGCATTTTCTGTACTTCAAGTTGAAGACATTTTTTTGTTGTTGTTGGTAGGCTCATAGCTGGCAGCCTGGAATAAAAAATCCATACCGTGGTGTTGTCGTATGGCCTGTTCCTGAAAACATTGAAATCACTGTGACACTTTTTAAGGTAAGTCCCATTTTTATAGGTTATAGGATTTACTGTGCAATCATTGTTATAAATGATGGAATATTTCAGTATTCACTGTTCTACACACTTGAGTCTTTAATGAGCAGTAAGGACCTTAATATGCATTATTTTTAGAGATATAGCAATTCATAACAATGCAAGGTTTTCATGGTCTATAAAGTCCAAATAATTTGAGGGTCTTTTTGAACTTATTCCAGTTAAGATCAACTGGAACACTTCTTTTATTGCTTCCTACATTCTACCCACAGGAAAATTTAAAGTGCTTTTTCTGTGGAAAGCTGAGGTTTATGGAATTCTTGTCCTGAGTCTCATTTTGTTAGCCTTGTTTGACTAAAAACAAGATGTGTTTTAAAATTGATACATGGTATTTTATTGATATTAATATAGGAAGGTAAATTTAAAATGGATTTTTTGATAAATATTTTATTGATATTGATAGCTTATAAATACTATAGCTTAAAATAAAAATTCTGGTAATAAATTCAAAGTCCACATCCAAAAAATATAGCTGTTCGTATATCTCAGTGACTTATTTATATGTTTTTTCTTGAACGTCTTCTCTATTTTTTAATGTTCCAAAATAGTCCTCATGCATATGAAAACTAAGCACTAGAATAATTACTTTCCTAACCAATTTCTTACCTGCTCAAAAAAAAGAAAAATGTTGGGGACAAATATGTCTCAGCTTCAGCCTTCTTGAACGTGGTGCATAGGGAACAAATGCTTTATTTCTTCTTTGAATCCAATTGTGTTGACTTTACTTTTGCAAAAGGATAGACTGAAGGAGGACATCTCATTGAGCATAATTTAGTAACATAAACTTGTGAAAATCCACTAAATACTATAGGATATGACATCTAAGTAGAGCAAAGTTATATGGCTTCAAGTGTGAAATCACTGTGTAAAAAAGTACTTTTGATTTTGTATTTCAATATATTAATTGATGTGCTCTGGAACTACTGAGGAGATATTTAGAACAAAGCAGTATAATGAATGTTAACGTACTAACCCATGAATGGGACACTACTTTTAAATGCTCTGTGTTTCATAGATATTCTATTTTATGAAAGATTCTTAACACTTTATGTGTGTTTTACAGTTGTGATACTATTGTTATTGACATTATAACATCCCATGATTATGCACATTATTTATACACTGTTGGCCCAGGGAGAAGTAAGACGTGAGGTTGTAGCTGCTCTTTTTTTTCAGGAAAGATCAGAATCATCCTATTACCCTTCAGTCAGCTGTCGTAAAAGCCTGTTATTAACCTCACACCCCTCCCCATGCATACCTCTTCTGTGTGTGTTGGTCACTCAGTTGTGTCCAATTCTTTGTGAGCCCCTGGACTGTGGCCCACCAGGCTCCTCTGTCCATGGAATTCTCCAGGCAAGAGTAGTAGAGTGGGTTGTCATTTCTTCCTCCAGGGGATCTTCCTGACTCAGGGCTCAAACCCAGGTCTCCTGCATTGCAGGCAGATTCTTTACTTTTTGAGCTGCCTTGGAAGCTCCTACCTCTACTACTAAAGTGATATAGTAAGCTTGGTGGTTAACAACAATACCTTTAGAGTACTATTTCATTTAATTCTCAAAGTAACCCTGGAGTTCTAGAATTCTTTCCATTGTACTGATAAGGAAACTAAGACTAAAGAAGGTAACATGCCCCATCACACTGATTTAGTCCTGGAGTGTGGTTGTTGTATGTTTGGTTTTGGGTTTGTTTTACATCACATGGCCTATTCTGTAATAAAAACCACTCTGAGTATAGATTACCATGGCAGAATCTATGACATGCTTGAGGAAAACTTTTAAGTAATCTTCTGTGTTTTGATTTAGTCTGTTTTTATTGTTAAAGCAAATGAATGGACATGGTTACACAACTTTTATAAAAATGATAATAGATAGCAAGGGGTTGGAAGATAGCTGATGAATGGCTGACAGCTATGTGTTTGGGCAAAGGATATGCACTAACTGAGTGATTTTGAGTTGAAAGTGGCTGTTGAAATGTATTACTTGGAGGATTAGGAGGTAAGTAGTTTTCAAGTACTAATGAGAATGTTCAGCAAATCCTATCACTGAACTTTTATGTCTTTTAAATGTTAGTCTGTAGGGAAATAAACTCAAATACTCCCTCCTTCCCAGTTTGCTGTATTACGCATTTCTCTTCAGTGAATATCTTTAAATATCTTCATCTTCCTGGCTCCATATCTTCCCAGAATTGTAATAGAAGAACCAAAAAGGAAAACAAAACAAAATAGCTTTCCATTCTCTCATATTAATTTTTAATTCTTATTTTTTTTTCTTTCTTTTTTTTCATTTATTTTTATTAGTTGGAGGCTAATTACTTCACAACATTTAAGTGGAAATTTTTAATTCTTATTTTTGAACAGCATTTTAAAATATTCAAGTAGAAAGCTTTTTCATATTTCCCCCTTTTCTTTTACTTGTAGTAAAGTCTCACAATTTGCAAAATAGAAAAGAACTGCTCATATTCACAGAGGTGTGTTCATAGACAAAGTGCTTATTAAAAAAGTTATCAAGAAGTTTCACTTTTCTATGACTTAACCAGAAATTAATTTCTTTAGCCTGCACGCTTGATTTTGAAAGTTGAATTAGCTTGAAAATATCTATTTCTGGTAAATGAAAAAAGCCTGTTTGGGTTTTGAGAAGGGAAATGGCTCTTTAAGCTGTTTTACTTTTTCTCTTTAGTTCAATGGTAATAAAAGAGACACTAGAAAATAGAGAGCAGGATGTAAAGGAAGACTTAATTGATTCAAGGTGAAAGCAACTTTCATTACTAATGTTTTTGTTTAGTCAATAACATAATTAATGAATTTTGTAGATATACCATTTTAAAGTAACTTAAAAATGAACATTATTGTTGCTCCTTTACATCTTTTTAGTGACTTTGCCTCATCAGATGTGACCCTTGGTCCCATTAAAATTATTCTATTATGGGTACTATTTCATCTGTGTTTCTAAAAAATGTTTAATCAACTTTGAGAATTAATGTATGTCATATATAAGGTGCTATTCAATATTTGTTAAGTTTCAAGGCATATATTCATTAATTCATTAATCAAGTTTTCTTGAGAAACTACCGTGTTCCAGGTACTTTTCTAGGTCCCTGGGAACGCAGAGATAAAACTGAACTAACAACATGGCTAAAAGTCAGACAGACCTAGAATTGGCACATAATTTTAACACTTATTTGTGGGAAGTTACATCTTTTTAGGTCTCAGTTTTCTGTCCTTTTAACTAGGAATAAAAATGATACCTATTTCATAAGTAGTTGTGATGATTAAAACCCTTAACACAATGACTGAGGCAGAGTGTGTGCTTTGCAAATATTTCATATTATCACTAATACCACTACTGTTGGAGCTTCTCTGGTGGGTTAGTCGGTAAAGAATCTGCCCACAATGCAGGAGACCTGGGTTCAGTCCCTGGATTGGGAAGATCCGCTGGAGGTGGAAATGGTAAAACCCTCTCCAGTATTCTTGCCTGGAGAAGTGCATGGACAGAGGAGCCTGGTGGGCTATAGTCCATGGGGTCACAAAGAGTTGAACATGACTGACCAACACACACACACACACACACACACTACTATTGTAAAAGTTGCACTAGAGCTAGGCTGCATTCTTCAACAGTGGTGTGGTGCAGGTGGGGGGCAAGCAGGAAGGATAGTAATATATCTTTTTCCTAAGCAATGTGTCACAGTATTACTTGGTCTCTAAAGTAGCACTGTTTGGGTCCTAAATCTCTTATGAAAAAAATGCTTTAAACTTTTATTTACAGTAGTCATTCTCCATAAACCTCCACAAACCTGGGCAGGGCCAGGTTGGGGAAATAAGTATTAAGTAGAGTTTTCTACCTCTTTTTCCTTTCTACCCTTTCCTGCCTGCCCCTGCCCATCACCACCAAATAAACTCCTTTTTGGCAGGTCTTTATATACTATCTGTGTGGATTTGTCATGGTTGCCTTAAGACAGCTCAGAAGCAGCTAGTCACCATACTTTTAAGGTAGAAAAATAAACAAAAATAAAGAAGTAACGAAAGAGTTTGGAATTTATCCCTTGTAGGGATCATTAAAAAACTCTTAGTTGGTACTTACATGGTAAGAACTGTGGTTTAGGAGAATTAATCTGTGTACAAGATTAACTGGAGAGCAGAGAGACTGAGAGTGCTGCAGTTACTTTTATCTTGAAATAGCCTAGGCACAAAGTGATGAGGACCCAAACTCAGGTGTGGCACTAGAAACTGAAGATTAATAATAGACTATAGTGGAATCAGTCATGAATAAGGAGCTTCCCTATGAGAAGTATATGGTCCATGAGACACAGTAGGGGAATAGCATCTATGTGCACATACTCTCATGCTCAGTACCTCCATCCCTCCCCCACCTCTAAAACATGAAGTTGAACTTGAATAAGTTAAATGCACTTACGATGCTACCCCACTGCTTTTCCTTTTATGTCTTAAAATCTGTTACCTTTCACCTTTACTTATTCTAGTGTCTGGAAATCCTATACAATCCCACCTAGTCTAAATGCTTCCTCACTCGTAAAGCTTTTCCTGTTCCTTCCTCTAAGAAATGTATTATCTTCTAATCTCTAGTAAAGTCATGTATTTCATTCATCATCTATGTATTTAGATTAGTTGTGTTTGTCTTTGAAAGCAAGGACATCTATGTTTGAATCCATAGAACACCTCTGTAATTCCTTATATAATAAGTAGCCAATAAATATTTGCCAAATACTTGGTTAAAGTGTGATTCATTTAGAAGAAAGGTGCATCTGGTTGTAGGATCTGTTACCCTTTCTCAGGCCTCTGGTGATGGAAGGCAGATGAGGGTATCAACATCAGATTTGTCATTTTGTGTAGGTTATGAAATTCTTTGCAGTACTTTGAAATTCTAAGTGTTTATAATATGTAACCTCTGCACCAAGAAAACCTTGCCTCAAGTAATACTTTGAGTTCA